GGATCTGCTGGGGTCACAGCTGGGATCGCAGCCCAAAGCCAGCTGGGATTGAACCTAGATCCAGCCCGCAGGGCCGCGGGCAGAGCTGCAGCAACTGAGGGATCTGCTGGGATCCAGCCCAAACACAGCCAGATTGAACCCCGATGCAGCCCGCAGAGCCACAGCCAGTGCTGCAGTGACTGAGGGGTCCATGGGATCCGCTGGGATCTGCCCAGATCCAGCCCAAAGCCAGCCGGGATCCAGCCAGATTGAACCCAGATCCTGCTGGGATCACAGCCCAAAGCCAGCCCGCAGGGCCGCGGGCAGTGCTGCAGCAACTGAGGGATCCCGGGGATCCGCTGGGATCTGCTGGGGTCACAGCTGGGATCTGCTGGGATCACAGCCCAGATCCAGCCCAAACAAAGCCAGATTGAACCCAAACCCAGCCCACAGAGCCACAGCCAGTGCTGCAGTGACTGAGGGATCTGCTGGGGTCACAGCCCAAAGCCAGCTGGGATTGACCCCAAACCCAGCCCGCAGGGCCGCGGGCAGAGCTGCAGCAACTGAGGGATCTGCTGGGATCTGCTGGGATCACAGCCCAAATCCGGCTGGGATTGAACCCAGATCCAGCCCGCAGGGCCGCGGGCAGAGCTGCAGCAACTGAGGGATCTACTGGGATCAAAGCTGGGATCCAGCCCAAACACAGCCAGATTGAACCCAGATCCAGCCCGCAGAGCCACAGCCAGTGCTGCAGCAACTGAGGGATCCTGGGGATCTGCTGGGATCCGCTGGGATCACAGCCCAAAGCCGGCCCGCAAGACCGTGGGCAGAGCTGCAGCAACTGAGGGATCTGCTGGGATCCAGCCCAAACACAGCCAGATTGAATCCAGATCCAGCTGGGATCACAGCCCAAACCCAGCCCGCAGGGCCGCAGGCAGAGCTGCAGCAACTGAGGGATCTGCTGGGATCCAGCCCAAACACAGCCAGATTGAATCCAGATCCAGCTGGGATCACAGCCCAAACCCAGCCCGCAGGGCCGCAGGCAGAGCTGCAGCAACTGAGGGATCTGCTGGGATCTACTGGGATCTGCTGGGATCCGCTGGGGTCACAGCTGGGATCCAGCCCAAACACAGCCAGATTGAACCCAGATCCAGCCCGCAGAGCCACAGCCAGTGCTGCAGTGACTGAGGGATCTGCTGGGATCGCTGGGATCACAGCCCACATCCAGCTGGGATTGAACCCAAACCCAGCCCGCAGGGCCGCGGGCAGTGCTGCAGTGACTGAGGGGTCCATGGGATCCGCTGGGATCTGCCCAGATCCAGCCCAACCCCAGCTGGGATCCACTGGGATCGACCCGGGGTCACAGCTGGGATCCACCAGGATTGAACCATCCCCAAATCACCCCAAACCATTCTAAACCATCCCAAATGACCTTAAATCACCCCAAACCACCCCAAACCATTCTAAATCACCCCAAACAATCCTCAAATGACCCCAAACCATCCCAAACCATTCCGAATCATCTTAAATAACCCCAAATGACCCCAAACTAACCCAAATCTCCCCAAACCATCCCAAACCATCCTAAACCAACCCAAATCACCTTCAATAACCCAAATCACCCCAAATCACCCCAAACCATTCCAGACCATTCCAAATCATCTTAAATAACCCCAAATCACCCCAAACTAACCCAAATGACCCCAAACCATCCCAAACCAACCCAAATCACCCCAAACCATTCCAAACCAACCCAAACCACCCCAAACCATTCCAGACCATTCCAAATCATTTTAAATAATCCCAAATCACCCCAAACTAACCCAAACCATTCCAAACCAACCCAAATCACCTTCAATAACTCCAAATGACCCCAAACCATCCCAAATCATCTTAAATAACCCCAAATCACCCCAAACTAACCCAAATCACCCCAAACCAACCCAAACCACCCCAAACCATTCCAAACCATCCCAAATGACCTTAAATAACCCCAAATCACCCCAAACCAACCCAATCCATTCCAAACCAACCCAAATCACCCTAAATGACCCCAAACCACCCCAAACCACCCCAAACCACCCCGAATGACCCCGAGTTCCCCGTTCCAGCCAAGAAGCTGCCAAAGACGGAGCCGCAGAGCGCGAGCGGGGCCGGGGGCCGGGGCCGGGGCGTGGACCTGAGCGAGCAGAGCCCGCAGGGCCGCGGGCAGTGCTGCAGCAACTGAGGGATCCCGGGGATCCGCTGGGATCTGCTGGGATCTGCTGGGGTCACAGCCCAAAGCCAGCCAGGATCCAGCCAGATTGAACCCAGATCCAGCTGGGATCACAGCCCAAACCCAGCCCGCAGGGCCGCGGGCAGAGCTGCAGCAACTGAGGGATCGGCTGGGATCTGCTGGGATCACAGCCCAAATCCAGCTGGGATTGAATCCAGATTCAGCC